TAGCGTTTTCAACAAGTGAAAATGCTATTTGGTAAACAGAACCGCTTAAATGAAAACGCTACAAATAGAAGAGTTTTGGGTTATCATTTTGAAATAAGACTTTTTTCTACTAATTGTTATGTCCAAATAACTAAATTATCAAACATCTTCTTGTAGTCAAACCCGATGACTGAACTCGCTATTGACAATCCAGAAACCCGCTAACATCTGTACAGAATTAACGACTTGATTTGGGTGCACTACATGGATCGTCTTAATCTATACTCATCAAGTTGTGACATTGAGTTTTATAAATGATATTTTTTCATCAATAGCTAATTTTGTTCTTATAGAAAAACTAATGCCGATTATCATTTTGACAATATCTCTGCATCAATATATTGTAACGTTAGGAACATTGCGGAACACCATCACAATTTGACATGTGAAATCTTGTCCGTAAAAAAATTATTTAGACGTTTAATTACTATGACGGATAGGGGCATCAAAAACTATTTTGACGTTTAATTTATAATTGAGTGCATAAATTATTTTTAATTGTGACATACTTACACGCAGGTAAAATAAATGGGTGGGTAATGGAACAGTTAACGGGGCGGGTATGTATAAAACCACAACTACCCTGTTACTCTTGAAGAGATAATAGATTCATAGTTATTCCGATCTTGTCCCCATACCGATTGTCCGTTAACAGATCAGGCGATCAATGCGGATATGGATCATATCCATCAAGCGGGTTACAATTGTTATCCCCCAGTCGCATGATTTTAGGATATAGTCCATTAATCGGTAATACTTCATTAATGCATCGGTACCGTTTAGGCAATTTTTTGTAAATTGAAACAATTAAATAGATAAAAGAAATACATTGGGCTACGTACAAGAACTAATCAAAGGAGTATAAAAATGCTAATAATTGATTTGATAATGCTTAAAACAAGAACGCAGAGTATTGCTTGTTTAAGCAATAGTATATAAACTGGAGTTCAATTTGTAAATATGAGGGTAGATGAAGTATGTACTAGCAGAGCTAATAATGATATAAATAATAAGATTATACGGAGTATTTAATCCTATGATGATCAAAGTGAGAGTACAATATCTTGCTTTTCTCAAATCTGCCTCTATTGCTATGGAACTCGTCTCTATTCAGGGCCGGTCCTGACATTTTATGGGCCAGGGGCAGTTCAAGTAGATTAGGCCTCAGGGATAGCGCGAGAATGTTTATAATGTTCTTTTTGCTATAAAAATCTAATTCAAAATTATACAATTTTACCGTCCAATTACTAACAAAGCATCATAAAAAACTAACAAAGCAGATGGTTAGACAAATTACATAGAGGGTATTTGATAAGTCACATTCCAGGATACAATGTACCCAAAGCAGCCGAATGAAACAAGTAGTGCAACTATTACGTGCAATTAAAAAAATTGAATTAAGAAAAGTTGTGAAAGTTTTGGGTTTTTTTCAAAAAAAAATTACTAAAATAAAACTCACTTACACAAATATGACAAATTGTTACTACAATGTATTCTTACAGTAACTCAGGTTTAAAAATTGAACATAAGCTGCTATGATTTCATTACTACTTTAGTCGCTAGTTACATTTTTGTAAATAATCTTAATTTTAGTCACATATATATATAATTATTTCTATCTTTTTCAAATTTTAAGTCACATTTTCACTAGACAAAAACAAATTCTAAGTTTCTAAATTATGGACATTGTAGTTCAATCTTTCATTAAATGAGAGAATCGGAGAAACTTTGTGAAATATATCAATGAATTCGGGATGTACATAAGAGAAGTACACCAAATTAAAAGATAAAAATTAATGTAATAACCCGTAATGATCCAATAAAAAAATGGTGAAATATGTTCCCAATGAATTCTAATGTGGATGTTTCAAAATTAGACTTGTACCGTGTAGATACTGAATAACGAATTGGGAATATCTAAAAAAAATATTAGTTTGATTTTAATTTTTAATTTTTATAGACTTAGGATGTATATATAATTAAAATATCGATGTACACAAACATGTATATATATTTGAGAAATTTATGGGCCCTAATGGAGCAAAGGGCCCTGGGCGCATGCCCCTCCTGCCCGTGCCCCAGGACCGGCCCTGTCTCTATTTATATGCTAATTAGGTCTCTTTTTAGCTCAAGCCCTTCATTTGCTCAACTACTTGTAGTTATCTTCTGTTTCTTTGACTTTGCCCGATATTATCCATCCAACTCATCCTTTTTGTTCATTAAAGGACAATAAATCCTTTATTAATTCTTGTCCCAACAGGTACCACATAATAATTAATATATAAACAAACAGAAAAGTAACTTAACGGATCAACTAAATTTATACAAAGGAGTACGAGTTTTTCTCTCTTCTCTCTAGGTTACCTTCGGGTAACCCCTAGTCTTTGTCCGCCGCCAGCTGCCTAGGAGGCCTCGGCCGTCGTCGGTGGATGTGTTGGAGTGCGGTTTTTTTATCGAGCTCTTCGGGGCTTCGCTTTGATTGGAGTTTTGTTTCGGTCGAGGAGGTCAGCGGCGGAAGGAGGAGCGTTGGAGCTAGGGATGACAATGGGGCGAGGGTTCACTCCCCCATCCCCGCACCATGTCTAAAAAGTAGGGTTGCACATCGGGCGGGTTGAGTCGGATTTGCTATATTTTTTCGGCCTACTCGATTTGTTCGGGTTGGCTATTAACCAACCCGCGGTACACAAAATAAGTTGGTAAACCATGCATGAACGGGTCGGGTAGGGTCGGGTATTGGAAAAAAAATCATTTCGGGTTGCATCTTTCATGTGGGAAATTTATGTAACCAATTCTAAACTCGATTAACTTGTTTTCAAAACACACAAACATATACAAGTACTCATCTTTTATAAGCAAAAACATTATGTAATAGTATTAAAACACCCTTTCATAAAGGAAGTTCATTTAGAAAAAAAAACGTAAATATATAAGAATCACCTAGTCAAAATGGAAAAAGATTAATTATAATTCTAATATCACAAAGTCCTAGATAGAGCACATTGGTCTTAAATTGAAATTATCCAAGAAAACATTGTAGCATAATAGAAAAATGAACTTCGGCCGAGTCGGGTACTATCGGGTTTGAGATTTTAATTCTGCAACCCTACCCATTAGGTGCGGGTTCAAACATATTTAACCAATGAATATTTTTTTAAAATCAAATACCCGATTAAATAGGGTCGGGTAGGGTTGGGTCGGGCGGGTTATGCGGATTCAGGTTATTCTTGCGCATCCCTACTAAAAGCCCCCCCACCCCCACCCCACCCCCGCTACTCCCCAACCCGCCCCATCCCCGCCCCATCCCCGCCCCACCCCATTGTCCCCCACGGGTGCCCCCATATAAATTTTATTTTGTATTATTTGCATATTTTTTAACCTATATTATAGATAAATATATATATGTAGCACTAAAAGAGGTAAACTAGCTAATATTGTAAAGTTAATTCCACCAATTTTTAATAATTCTTTAATTTGAATAAGTTATGTGAAGATAATAAACGTAAAAATGTAAGTAAACATATTATCAACTTGTATGTCTTTACAGATTTCTCATCAATTAAAATACAATTAATTATTTATATTGTACATATGTATGCATATGTGTGTGCTATTTCCTCACTTTCTCACTTTAAAACACATCTAACACTTATGATAAGTATTTTCAGTCATTATGTACTCATTTTAATATTCTAATATAATAATTTAATATGCATTAGTTCATTAACCGTGACTAAACACATACATTTATATATATGTATATGAATATGTATATGTATGTGTTTGTTATATACTACATATAATGCAATTATGTATATGCATATGTATATGTATGTTGATGTGTGTGTGTGTATTATATATTTTGAGTTTATATTTATAACGGGGCGGGAACGGGACGGGTGTAGCAATCCCCATCCACGCCCCATGTTTTAGCGGGGGGGAAATATCTCACCCGTCCCCATCCCCGCCCCGCCCCAAACCCCACCCCATTCTCCCCCAACGAGGCGGTTCCCCACGGGCCCCCGCCCCATTGCCATCCTTAGTTGGAGCTTTCGGGAGTGTTTGGGTTAGCTTAAAAAAAACACTTTTCAGCTCTTGGCTTAAAAAAAGTTGAAAAGAGTGTTTTCAAATGACAGCTTCTGCTTAAATTAATCACTTAAAAGCTAAAAGCTGGAAGCAGGTAGAAGGGTGCTTTAAACTGCTTCTCACTTTTTCTATTACACAAAAAGTACTTATTTTACCAAACACTACCAACTTTTACTTTTCCAGAATCACTTTTTTCTCAAACACTACCAACTTTTACTATTAATCACTTTTCCCAAAACCACTTTTAAAAATCACTTTTTTAAAGTTGAAGCAATTGCAAACACTCCCTTCGTCGTGGTTTGTCAAAGTTGTCCTCCACGAAAGCTTCGTGTTGGTGCGGGGGATTCATATTGTGAATGGAGAATTTTGTATACAAGTACAAAAACATGGCGATTGGGACGGAGGAAGAAGATATGGATTTCAATACGGAAGACGTTCCAGTAGGGAAAAGCAGTCCAAGGTTTCCGGAGGTAGGAGTGCTACTAACTATTGAGGCGGATGAGTGACGAGTGCGTCCCCCCCCCCCCCCCTGAACCGCCGCCGTGGAGTGCAAGCAAGGTGAAGAACGTTCGGGTGCTCGTGCGGATTGGCAGACTCGAACAGAGTTTCAAGTTAATTTGCTTTTTATTTCTCCTTAGTGACATTTTATGTTGCTGTGTGGCTTTTTTCGTTGTTGTTCCTTTTTGTAAGACGATTGATTTGGATGTGGGTGATGAGAGGATTGCGGTAAGCCGGTAACCGTCTTTGGCTCATTTGTGCCCATTAATGGATCAGTGAATTATATTGCTTTGTTGGAGGTGATTAATTCCGAGTCTGGTTCGCGAGACGACGGTTGTCAGGAATCTTTTTGTCGGATTACCCATAATCTGAATGATGTGTTATCAATTTAAACCTATTTCTTCCAAAAAATAGGAATGTTGAAGATTAAAAATATTCGGAGTAATAGAGTATGACATACTATCGTATATACTACGTAGTATTTTCAGTTAAAGCATAAGAATTACATAGAGAAGAATTACACAAAGTACATGTGGAAAGACATCAAATCTTCAATAAAATTCTTTAGTTTAGTACTTGAATAATTAAAGTTCGTATCTAACGGTCACTACAGAAAAACTTTACGGGATTGGCATGGATTTGACACGGATTCACAGATAATTTCATGCCAAATAGCTTGTGCCAAACTATTTTTAGCAAGGGTTTGATATATCCTGCCAAAGTCCGTGTCAATTTTAAGAAATCCGTGCCAAAAAATCCTGTCAATCTCGTGTTTTTTTTCTGTAGTGGGTATAATATTCAAAGATTCAAGAAATAGTTGAAACCATAGAAAATCAGCCCCGCAACCACATTAGCTTCCAGGAATTGCTTTCTTTTGCTTCCGTCGCTCTTAACTTCGGCACCTGTTGCTCCATCTCCTGAGCTGCCTTTAACTACGACCATATAGTTTTTTTTTAAAAAAACAAAAACTCAAAATGCGAAATTACAAATACTGATTATTGTGATGAATATCCAAGTAAAATAGATGTATACTATGTCAGTGACACAGGTGACACTTATTTGTAGTTTCCACCAAAATAAATAAGAAAATTTGAAAAGACCGATGATTTTTTTCCTTCATCAGTATCGAAATAGAATTTACAGATACATTAAAAAAAACAGAACTTACAGATAAGAATTTAATTAATGTGTAAATTTAAACTTAATACTCCGTATGTGTTTGTTTCAATTTCAACAATAATTGATAACAAATTCAAAAAGGTCCGATTGTTTATGAGTGCGAAAGTAGTGTAGTTATTATAAAACTACACTACTTTTATGAGAATATTTGTGCAATGTTAAAGTCATACTCTTTTTATGAGAAATTATTATATATGAGATTGCTATGAGAATTTTTAAACAATGTATAAAATTATCTTAAACTTTTGACAAATTGTTTGATCAACTATATGCTCAATTCACCAACTACTGTTTGAAAATTCTGCCTATGTTTTTTAAAGCTATGTGATTTAATGAATTGGCCAATTTTTTTTGTTTAATTAGGAAATAATTGTCGTGATAACAGGATTTTATACTGAATTGTGTCGACCGTGTTATTGAACACATTAAATTATGTGAATATTGGGCTATTATATGTAATTGTAGATGTTGAGTGTAGAAATATATAAAAAAAATCAAATTATCGTTGCTCAACAAGCAAGGAGATATCTTGTATGGGACTGGTTAAAATTGATATAATAAAAGTAGGGGTTTTGGAACAAGATCTTAAATTGTGCAATTAAGATGCACTCCATGTTTTATATTTGGAGAAAATAATTTAAATATCCCAAATTTTGAATAGGTGTGAGATGAGTACCCCAAACTTGCACATGTAATAAATATACCCCAAACTTTATATAAAAAGTTAAGTTAGCACCGTGAGTATATATTTGATCACAAATGTAATTTTACGGTGTTAATTGCATAATTTAAAATACACAAAACGTTTATGAGAATGCAATTAAAATTAAATTGTAATGGATGTAATATTATTTAGGGATTAGTGCGGAAAAGTACTTGTCGTTAGACTTGTTTTCAGTTAGGATCATGTGTTTCATTTTTATCAAAGTGGTTTGTATGTTTAAAAGGCTCAAATTTAAATGCTACACAAGGTCCGAAAATCTTAAATATTGTACACATGATCAAAATTGATCAGAAAGCATAGTGATGCATCGATGAGGTCTGATTATTACTTTTTAGTAATGTACTATGTAATTCACAAGCCAAGCTCATATCATTAATGATCACTAACTCATCAAGTATTATTTAACAACTAACGGTGTTAAGGGTAAATTAGCCACTTAAAAAGTGAGGTTTCATTTTCTAAAAGCAATGTCTAACTCTCCAAGCTCAAAGTGTGTTGATATAAATTAAGGGTACTACCACCCATTCATAATTATAATGTTTTTAGACATATCGTAGTAAATAATACGGAGTATCGCGATCGTTTATTGTTTTAGTTATCCAGCGGTTGAGAACACATTGGTAATTTATTTGTTACGTAGTATGATATATAGGTTATTATAGGTATAGTACACATAACGCATAGGTACACACATGATAATTTGATATACTAAACCCAACTAAATCAAACAGTTATATGGAGTAACATTTTTCTTTTAAAATTTTTCAGTTACTAAAAGTTAACCATTACTAAGAATGTTTTTACTTTGACTGTTTTCAGTCCCAAATCATATCAAACCAGACTAAATACAAAAGACCAAACGGATTTAAACAAACCAGATCAGACAAGACTTTCAAATTATAAAATACACATCGACCAGATACTTATCAGACCAGACCAACCTAACCTAGACTGTACTAGACTTAAAAACATTTAAAGTATCTTTAATTGTGCCAAACACATCATATTTACCTAGTTGCTGTGGAGATGCTCTAACAATCTATTGATCTAAGATGTTACGAAGTAAAATGGAATAATCAATAACGTATAATTTCGTTCATATGCCAAATAACTTCCATGGAGAACTAATTTTGTGTGACGACGTATCCGGTCTATGATATCATCATATGCTTTTTGCTCATCATAGAGCTGCTCCCTTTTCAGGTGAGTACTTGTTTATTCAGGATATTGCGCAAAGAATTCTTTTTGCGGAACATATATATACACATCCGAAATATAATTAAACTTTTGCACATTAAAAACGAGAACGAAAATATAAAGTTAAAGATACAATATGTATTTGTAAAGATAATATATACGGAGTATGTATTTGTATACAATATTAAAAATAAGGTAGTCAAATCACAATATGTATTTGTATATATTATAGGTGAGTGCTACGGTACCTCATGAACAAATGAGGGTACCGACCTATGATACACTTGATGTATTTGTATACTCACACTATTTAAAGTTTCATACATTTTTCATTTTGAGATGTATTTAAAAGTTTCATACACTTTTTCTTTTTGGTAAGTTTTTCCTTTAAAAATATTCAATTACCCTTACTTTTTCTACTTTTATACTCTCTTTTCTACTGTTTTCACGTTATCTCCTACTTTTTCTATACAAGTCATTACCCATGCTATTCTCCCTTAAATCTTAGGCAAGTGCTACGTTACCGTACATTACAAATAACTGAGGGTACCATACCTATGATACACTTGATTGGTCGAGCTCATTATCTCATAATTTATTATTTTTAAAATTCTTTCGTTACAATATGTACTCTCTCTGTCCCACCAAACTTTGCCAATTATCTTTTTTTGTTGTCCCATAAAATTTTGTCACTTTCTAATTAAGGTATATGATGTTTTCTTTTATATTGAAATTTGCTGGTCTGGTCTAATCTGGTCTGGTCTGATTTAAGATTAAAAACAATCCAAAAGAAAACACCCTTAATATGTGATTCTGCTCATTTCTCTCTTTTTTACAAACCTTCAACTACACAACCCCTTAACTTTTCTTATTTTAATCTTGGCAAAGTCCTTTAGGACGGAGTTAATACATAGTATGTACTTCGTATACTATGCATATGTTACCTGGCGCAGTAGTAGCACCGCTTCCCTTTGCACTATTGACGAAATCTTGAAATACTTTTGCGTCTGGTGAGTTAGGTGCCAAGTTCAGGAGTTCTGCAGTATAATCAATAAGCTTTATGACCAAATTGGAAATACAATTTTCAACGGGCTCTTTGATGGAAACATTAACTAACAGGGTTTCATCCAACTATCCAAGTCTTGATTGATCTTATTTGTTTCCACATGCCCCTTTCGCACATATTTTTGTTTAAAACGTCCACAATTATAATTACGAGATAAAGGTTAATAGAGCATACGAACTATTATATGATCAATTTTTTTTTTTTACTCCAGGGGGCTTCTGGGGGAGGGGGCTGGGGAGAGCCTGTAGTAATCTAGGCTGAAACTCAGCTCATTGAGTTTCGAACCCGAAACCTCTCGTAAAGGAGAGTGAGTCGGCGACCGGCTGGGTTGGACCGCTTCCTCACTATTATATAATCAGATTTAAATACATGAGATGATGAGATTAGTACCGATTTCATAGAATAGATTAGATTTAAACACACATAACATCATATCAGAATAGTTCAATTCCATGCCAGTATGACACTATGAATTGGTCAGATTTGTTTATATTTTTCCAAAATAAAACTCTGTAAACCTCTCCCATTCCATGCTATGTCTCTTTAAAAAAAAGGTACCGGTACTGCTTGTTTCACTTATACATAGCACATATCCCATTCGTACCAACTTTCGGGACGGTTCATTGGTACCATCGGTTCTTAAATAATGCCAAAATAAAATGAGAAATGTACACATGTTTTGTGTACATTGTTTGTACACTTATCTGTCTTACACACACAGGGTTGCTTGTACACATATTCAACTATGTGTGCGTAAAATAGACAAATGTACGAAAGATGTAAATAAAAAAGTGTACATCAAACACGGCTCAAATAAAGTTATAATCTTCTAAAGTGAAACATTAGTAGAGTAAAAGTAAAAATGTTCATCACAATCAATCAGTAACAATCATAAAATTATACTCGTAACAGTAATTGTCAACAACAGGTCATCATAGTTAACATAGTTATTAATTGGGTGGGACTAAATGAACGTGGTCTAAATCGATCAATGAACCACTGTTTTGTATATGACTCCCTCCGTCCCACTAAAATCATTTTTTAGCAGTCCCAAAATGAAGTTCATCTTTTCTTAAATGGAAAGTTATCTTACATCAAAACAGTGTCAAACAGTGCCGAACAGTGTCAAAACAATAAATTTTACTCCCTGGTATGTTTATTTCCATAATATGTGTGTAGGTCAAACTATGAAAATCTTAGCGGGACGGAGGTAGCATGATGTAACATGTTATATATTACTGTAGTATATAATACTACCTCCGTCCCACTAACATTGGGACGGAAGGAGGTGATACGGTTACCAAATTTGGTATGAGACAATCTTAGTGGGATTTTCAGAAAAGGTAAAATGAGACAATCTTAGCGGGACGGAGGGAGTATATCCATTGTTCGGGAAGATAAGAGACATTTCGATATCATATGATTTTGGAACAATTTGGGAATGATTGTCATGAAGAATTGATACCATATCATATTGCGTATAAAAAATATCGGTCCAATCTAATACGATATATATTACTCGTATACTCTTCGGTTTTCACTTCATGTACTTCATTCCTTTACACTACTTCTTCCAACATTACTACTTTCTATTTTATACTTTGTGGATCATGCTTACCTAATATATAGGGCAGATGCCAGATGCATATGGGTTGTGCACAAATTGCCAAAAAGAAAATCTCCAATTCGAATAGCTTACAAAATGGGGCAGAAATACTTCACCCACACGACTTTTGTACTTGATTGGAGTAATTCAAATAGTCTATATATCACTTATTTTCTCTACCAAACAAATAAGTGAACACAATTAAGTGGGGTTGGGAAATAGGGAAGGATTTAATTTCATTTCCGTGATGTGTACGATTTCTTCTTGTTCACAGACCTACAAATTGTGCTTGAGCACAGTACTTTTCAGAACACCTACTCCGTTCAAACTTAAATTTATTTTCTTGTAATTTGACATGAAAAAATGTGATTTCAATGTCCGAAATGGTGCTAATTACACATTTCTCCATAAAACGAAAGAGAAAACCTTCACTCAACATCGAACAATATCGATCACCGAAGGCAATAATTTTTCAAAGAAAAAACCAATTTTTGTTAAAAAGCATACCGAGTACTCGGTACTCACTATGTACCAAATTGATGTGCAAAGAAAGAGTTCAGCAAACTAACTTAGGGTATGTTTGGGAGTTTTAGGAGGGAATGCTTTGGACTGTAGTCATGAGAGGGGAAGCGGAGCGGAAGAAATACATCTTTTTGTTTGAGAGTTACAAATTTGAAAAACCAACTACATAGGAATTATAATCAATATCACTTAAAGATATAGACATATAGTAGTATAATGAATTCAAATAGTTATACTACTATTCATTTTAAGTTGGCTAAAATTTGTCATGTAATTTGTGACCAAATTGAGGAATTTTGGAGGGTGACAACTTACAAGATCCCTCCAAAATCATTCCCTTCACATTTTTAAACTACTAGACAAGAAAGGGAGGGTAATAAACCATCCTTAACAATCAATTCGGTCTCTTCTCCTCCAAAATCTAACTCCCGGACATATCCTTAGGATACCATCAATCCTTTCTTGATAGTTTTATTCATTAAATTACAATTTATATACATAAAAGTAGACTAAAAGTTCGAATGATAACATAAATTCAATTGAAAAAATAACTTGAAATGGATACTTAAGCGTGTGTCAATCCCCACTCTAGAGTCTAGACTATCACATTCCGTTTTTGTACTTTTATTTACTATATGCTCCTAGTGCATATAATGCATATCCTCTTATGACTTGTGTTTGAATAGGATTTGGCTGAGTAATTTTGTTTTTCTTTGAGTAATTAAGGTAGGAAATTATGCTTACGAACACATTGGGAGACATTAGCGGGCGTTTGGCACAAATCAGGAAGGCCTAAAGCTCGGGTGGAGTTGATCTTGAGGCCAAGGCTGGCATCGTTTCTATCCTTCACCAAAATGCATATGCATTTCTTGCTCTTCTCAATCACTCCTTTCAGCCCCGCGCAGCAATCCCGCGGCGGAGTTCTAGCCTCGTCGCTCACGTACGGGAGGCACGTGGCGATCCCGACGAGTTGCTCGGCGCACTCCGCCTTGTCCTTGCTCACGTCCGAGCTCGCAAGACCGGCCAAGAGCACCATGAAGAAGAAGAAAGGCACAAACTTTGACGCCATTAATGACAATTATGCAATCTTGATTTAATGAGCTTACTAGCTAAGAAGGCTAAGATGGATGGTTGTAAAGATAGGCAAAGGATATAGATAGGGCGGATGATGATTTTGTAAACTATGCTTTATGTGAGGAGCATTTATTAAATTTGTTTACTTGTTTTATGGTAGGTACTAAAGATGACATGTGTACCTTATAGCTAATTAAACACATTAATGGTGAGTTGATGGCAAAAAATAGTCGTAGTAGAGAGAGCTCTTAAGCGTGTTTGGTAAAATTAAGTGTTTGGTAATATGAAAATGGGTTGAATTGACTAATTCTGAAAAATTATGAAAAAGTATTAATTATTTTTAATAAAAGAAACAAAAAGTGATATGCAAAATAGCTAAAATTGTTCTCTATAGTAACTTCAATCAATCCAGTCAGAAAAGTAACTTCAACCTTAATTATTTTGATTATTATATACTCCATTTTATGCACGCAAAATTAAGAGTCATGAAACTCGCTTTCGCTCATAAACGTACAAATCAGTGAAGGCCTTTGCTTTGAGTTCCCCGCAACACTCAACTTTTCGCATTTGTATTAGACATACTCGTACTATTAGTTGATTTAGAGCATCTCCAATGTAAAAACGTGAACGGTGCATACGTGACATGAATGATAGCCAAGCCAATTAAAAAATAACAAATAGAATATCTCTCTCCTTATTTGAACGGTCTTATATGTTTTTGGTAAGTTTTTCTCCACAATGTCAAACACAATGTCTAGATGTAGACACCGTACGTGGTTGACATTGCAGAAAAAAACTTACCAAAACACATAAAACCGTGGAAAGAATGAGAGAGAAATATCAAAAATTTAATTTTTTGTGTCTATCTCTCTCATTCCACATGTGCACCGTGCACATTGTAGCATTGGAGATGCTCATAGTAGTTTTATACTTCCTCCACTGTACTTATTTAAACTTCACTATGCTAATAATTTGATGTGCTCATTTTAAGAAAATAATTTTTTTCTTTTGACTTTTTTAATGCTCCTTTTAGTTAGATGTGAACATTCATTTCATTGTAAGTCCTTATATTGCATTACTTTGGAATTGTTTGACACTATTGACTTTGTGATTTCAATATTATTAAGGGTAATAGCTAGAGTACATTGATGGAAAATTGGAAACTTATTCACTAAATAAGAAAATGAGAAATTATTTGGAGACATTCACATAAATAAAACAAGAAGATTTTTAAGCTAGGGAAATTAAAGAGAGAGTATTATAGTTCAGGACCAAACCGACATTTCTTGTTAGGTCCTTTCCGGTCCCACCGGCAGTTTTGGTTTCGGTCTCATCTTTTTTTTATGCTACTTATATATATATACTCGTACTATGTACTACCTCGGTCCCGTTGGAATGTTCCCGTTCGGTTTACGATGTTTGACTGACGATAAAACAACTCGATCCCTGTTCACACTCCGCTTATTTTTAGTAAATAAAATTTACATATTCAGAAACTACATCAAAACCGCTACAAAGCCTGATCAAGAAAAGTTCTAATAGTGTAATTAATACTTTAATTAGGTTTCCATATTTATTTGTTTCCTAATGTACTCAGAACTCTTTTATTATATATATGACATCTAAGCTACCTCATTAGGTATGCCTTTCCATTATTTTCACATGGTATCAAGAGCCCTAGGTTTCTAATTTTTTTCTCTCTCTTTCCTCATGTCTTCGGCCACTACTTCCGCCGCCGAGACCCAAGCCGCTCCCAGCACCACTGCCGCGACCACAACGTCGGCGGATGACGTGCAGGTGATGAGCGCAGCTTCACACGACGGATCCATCACAGCGCCGCTGCAGTCCGAGGTACTCCATCACCATGTCTCGGGCTCGCCGCTTGATACACCATGGATCCCGCCGATTTTTAGATGGACACCAACACAACCTACAATCCGGCCACCACCTCTGTTTAACACCGACCCCCACGCCGAATCCAGCAGTGTCGCGGCTGTCCGAGCTCGATTTGGTGGTTCAACTTTGTCCGGAGCTCCTAGTCTGCATATGCCTCACACGGTCGAGCCTATACACCGGCGCCAATTGGATAATTCCATTCCGGTTTCCTTGTCTAAGGTATGACTCTTGGTTCTGCAATCAGTCAAATTGTTACCACCAAATTATTGAAGGTAGAAGATTACTTACCTTGGCGAACTCAATTTGAGTCGTTCATGGTAGCGAATGGTGTCCTCGGCATTCTCGATGGGTCGCTCCCTGCTCCACCGTTATATACCTATGATTTATATCAGGCTTCTTCCATGAATCCTGAATATTATCACTGGTTAAAATTGGATCAAACTATTCGTGCCTGGCTATTTGCTACTCACTCTCGTGAAGTTTTGATGGAGGTTCATACTCTTAAGAATTCCGCTTCAATTTGGGAAAAGTTGTTTTCCCGGTTTATGGCAGCAAGCCTTGCTCGTTCCATGGAGTTAAAACATCAGTTGTCACATTCACGAAAGAAGGCTAATCAATCCATGGAAGAGTATGTTCGTGGAATTCAGACAATAGCGGACAATATGAATTCCATTAATTCTCCGGTTTCTGATTCTGATCTTTTACAACATACTCTTTATGGATTGGGACCGGGTTATGAATCGCTTGTTGGACCACTTGCACTTTTTCCCGAAGGACTTACTTTTGACAAATTATGCACCAAGTTGGTACATCAAGAGGCACGATTACAGTATCAACAATCTTTGGAATCATCAGTTGGTGCCCCTGCTTTTTTGGCCAACACATCATCAGGAGGAACTCAGGCTGTGGCTCATGCTGTCGGACAGCAACAGCCCTATCGGGGCGGCTGAGGAGGTCGTCGTGGCCGCGTGCGTGGACGTGGCCGAGGCCGCCAGCAGTTTCCCATGCCTGGACAGCAGCTCCCTCCGCAGCAGCAGTTCCCCGCACAGCAGCAGCAATTCGGTCAGCAGCCCCACTCCCAGCAGCAGCAACAATTCGGCCGTGGACAGCTGTATACTCAATTTTCGGGACAACCGGGTACAGTCTTTTGTAATACAGTTGTGTCATCGTTTTATACTCCTGCGTTATCTACTTTTTGTACTAACAATGTGTCTGCAGGATTCCCGTCTTTTGAGAATAATTTCGGTTCAGTCCCACCACCCGTTGTCTGCCAAATCTGTCATTCCCCAGGTCATTCCGCTGTTTCGTGCCCGTCTCGTTTTTCTCAGCCGTCTACTCCTGCCTTAGCTGTTCCTACTGGAGAATCCACTCCGGCTGTTTGGTATCCTGACTCTGGCGCTTCCGCTCACATGATAGCTAATGAAGGTATTTTAGTCAATAAATCTAGTTATACTGGACCACTTTCTATTACGGTTGCAAATGGTTCCACTTTGCCTGTTATGACTATTGGTGACTTGCATCTGTCCACTCCGCCTCGATCTCTTCATTTAAAATCTGTGTATCATGTTCCACACCTTAAATATAATTTAATGTCCATTCAAAAATTATGTGCCGATAATAATTGTTTTGTGATATTTGATAAAAACTCTGTTTGTGTTAAGGACAACATTTCAGGGAGGTGCTTCTTCAAGCTTCCAGTAATGGTGGTGTCTACCCCATCTCATTTTCTTCTTACTCACCTGTTGCTCTCGCCTCACATGTTGCTCCTGGACCAGTCTGGCATCGTCGGTTGGGGCATTGTGGCAGTCGTATATTAGATAGGCTTAGGAAGACTGGCAATATTCTTAGTAATTCGCACTTTTCTCATGATTGTATTTCTTGTCGCTTAGGAAAGTCACAACGATTACCTTTTCAAGAAGTTTGGCATAAATCTACTTCTCCTTTATATTTGATTCATTCAGATGTTTGGCAATCTCCTCTTCTTTCTGCAAGTGGTTTTAAATACTATGTTTTATTTATTGATGACTTTTCACGATTTACATGGCTTTATCCTATGTGTCGTAAAAGTGAAGTTGTGAGTCATTTTAAGAATTTTAAACTAATGGTGGAAAATTTATTTAATTCCAAGATTAAAATTTTTCAAAGTGATGGAGGGGGTGAGTTTGATAATCATGGTATGCGTGAAATTTTTCTCAGTAATGGCATTTTGTTCAGGAAATCTTGCCCTGACACTCCTGAACAAAATGGTATAGCTGAACGTAAACATAAGCATTTACTTGAATTAACTCGCACTATGCTTCTTGAGGCAAAAATGCCAGCTAATTTTTGGGTTGATGCCGTGTTTACCGCTACCTATATTATTAATCGTCTTCCCACTCCCAATTTAAATGGTTTTTCTCCGGTTGAAAAATTATTCCACCACTCACCTGACTTCTCTTTTATGCGTGTATTTGGTTGTGCCTGTTTTCCAAATTTTATTGCCACCTCTGCAAAAAAATTATCTCCACGATCTGTTTTGTGTGTGTTTTTGGGATATGCCCCTGAGTATAAGGGTTATCGTTGTTTAGATCCTATCAGTGGCAAGATTTACATCAATAGGAATGTTCGATTTTATGAGGATATTTTTCCATACTCCGACCTGATTTCTTCCTCAAAACCTGCCATTTTGCCCTCTAATAGTGTCCAGCTACATGAGAGCACACTACCTTCTTTCATTCCAGCCCATACCACCTCACCTACCTCTCGGCCGAACCCCAAACCTCCTGCCAGTACCCATCTTCTACACCCGGCCGAGACCATGCCTGACAGTGACCCTTTCATACCCACTTTTGACCGACCTAGCACTCCCTCCTCTCCGTCCTCATTTGCCTCCTCTCGGTCCAGTTCACCAATCTCCACAACAACTCCATCCACCCCTCCGACCACCCCACATCTACCAATTCCACCAGCCTCGACACCATCACCCTCACCGCCTGCACCTTCCCCGGTGAACTGTCATCCAATGCAAACTAGAGCCAAATCTGGGATTTTTAAACCGAAAACTATTTTTAATCTCAAAACAGATATTTCGGCATGTGATCCTTCTTGTTTTTCTACAGCTAATAAGGATCTTAAATGGAGAGAGGCTATGGCAGAGGAGTTTAATGCACTCATTGATAATCATACTTGGGATTTAGTATCATTTAATTCTCGTAAAAATGTGGTCGGGTCTAAATGGATTTATAAAACTAAATTTAATTCAGATGGGTCAGTTGAGAGGTATAAGGCGCGTCTGGTGGCTCAAGGTTTTACTCAACAAGCTGG